CCTTCTGGAAAAAAGGGTCTATAAACACGCATATAAAGGGCCGTTGGGTTCCCATCTGTTGTCAATCCTGTATCGCCCGTCTTTTTTCACGTACATGTATGAGAATGCATGCGTATCTATACCAACCAACCAACCAACCTACCTACCTACCATATATATAGAGAGACAGAGATAGAGAGAGAAAGCATCTACACACGGGTTTGGTGTCCGAACGGTAAAGAGGATGAGTGCCATGATGTGATGAGTAGTCAAGGTGAATGAATGGGGAATCCGATCTTCTTCCGAAGCCTAGAGGATGGACGGCTTTATCAATCAGGACAGTTTGGTCCTTCTGTAGAAAAAATCGCTGCATGAGACGAAGCTAAAAGTGTTAAAAGTGTTGGAACTTAGGGAACAAACATGAGAATACGTCATGAAGGCGAAGTAGAGGGGGTTTTCTGGAATATTTTTATAGCCTTGAAATTTTGCTGGCACGTGTTTTGGCGCCTCTTCTATTCTCTGATTGGTGTGATTTCCGCTTGCTCTGCTGTCCGAGATGCAATCTTGTGTAGTATCTCAGACATCGTAAAGCCACCGAAGCCTATTCCCTTCTCCCACAATCATGTGCAACGATTGACGCAAAGAGCGGGTTCTAACTGAGCCAGAAAGATGTGTTAAATCCTTCGGCTAGACGAACTCCAGAACCGAAAAGACGGTCGCGTGTAGCGCTTGAACGAAACTTGTATCCTCCCCGAGTCTGAATCACTGGGCTTGCAGCCCAAAGATGCCATTGCATTTAACGTAACCCTGCCTCTTGGATGAGCTGGCCTTTTGGAAGGCGAGGCTAAGTGAAATCCACTAGCGCCATGAGGCCTACTCATTTTTGTGGGAAAAGTCAGCTGGCAGGCCTTAAATCACCTTTAGATGCATAGGCTGACTAAGTTCTTATTCAATAAATGATAATCGCCTCAAAGACTGAAAATATTTCATGGAGGATTTTTATCTACTCAGAGTTATTGCATTGTTTACTAGTTTCTGTTCATATATTGTCGGTGAATGAGCCTATCCTGTTAAGTGGAAGTTGATATTTTGATACTATTTTTTTTCGTTTTTCGATTGAGAGTTATAAAGTTGACAATTTAATTTGACGACGTTCCCTTTTCATGATAGCTTGAGTTTGCAACTTTGCGATCATCATGTGGTGGGCCGTTCTGAATTTTGAAAATAAACAGTGGTATTTATGTTCTAATATGTTTGCCGGGTATCAGAAGTAGTGCTTTTCCTTAAGTAACGTATGCGTTTTGTGGGATTGCGGAGAATTTGAGGATGTCATACCATACTAACCGCCCCTAGATTGCTTGGCAAACTGGTGCTATTGCCGTGGGTGAGGTTCCAGCGGCGGAGGGCTGAGGGAAAGATGGGAGAACCCGAGAGGTAGCCGAAGGACATTTGGGGTGGATTGATTTGGACACGTGGTGTCATGGTTGACAAAGCCACAAGAGGAATGCGAATACGTCAGAGGGACGACAAGAAGACCTCGGAATGGAGACATCGCAGCGTCATTAAGGCGACATGAAGACGTTATAGCCCTCGTAAGAGGGTTTTAATGGGCCTTATGCAGCTCGAGCATGCAAACATGCCAGTCAGCCTTGCAAGGACACATGGCCATGACGACCGATTCGTCCTAGTATCGGCAACATGCCATCTTTGTGGACGTCTGATGGCACAATCGATACTTGCTCATACAGCCTGATCGATCACCAGAAGCCAATGAGGGCCTGGTTCCAATGGTTGCTAAAGTGTCAGGCACAAGTGAAAAAGAGAATAAGGCTATTGCAAAGATGTCCTCCAAAAACTCAGGTGCGAAAATGGCGTGGCAAACACGAGGCGTCTTTACACGTCCAAGCGGGTCTCGAGCCAGATCAGCTCAGCTCAACGAGTTGCCTGATGGCGTTGGTATGAGATCACCCGGCCGGTGATTCAGAGAAATGCGTTATGCCTCCGTGTTGTCAGGAGCGGCTCGACCCTGAGACCCTGGAGCGTCAAGACGAGTCAGTCATCATCAGTCGCAAGAAGGCAGATGGCACCGCAAAACAGGCCTCAATCAGGTGTTCAAGAGCATAAATGTGGCTAATTGAGCACTGAAGCATGGGAGAGAATTGCTCTTTTGAAAGAACACAAATATTGTATCTTCACTCGAGAAAGCTGTACTGTTGGGGGTGACTTGATGAAACAGCAGAGCT